CGGGGATCGAACCGGCGCCGCAGAGGCCGCAAGCAGCTTCGCAACCCAGCGCTCAACCGCTGCGCCACCAGGGAGGCCCTACTTTGTTTTTTTAAAAAAGATTTATTTATTTATACATACAAGAATTGGGGTACAGGCCAAAGTTGTGGGGGTTGAAAGGATTCACCAGAGACAGAGTGGGGAACAGAACAGGCAGATTGACTGAAATACTCTGCTGAGGGTAGCAGTGGGTGAGTCAGGAGAGGTCTGCTGTGCCATGTAGGTAGCTCCCTGGCTGGCCGAGGACCTAACTCATGCTACAGTGGCTGTAGCCAGCTTCATAGGTAGCATCTTAACCCCTTGCACCACCAGGGAAGCCCACAATAATTACCTTTTTACTCCTCTTTCGTTTCTGCTAAACAGGGGCTTTCTTATCTTGTTGGATTTTAGAGTCAATCTGAAAACTTTAAAATATACAAATTCCTGGTTCCTGCTCCAAAAGATTTTGGGTATAACTGACTTTGGTAAGTGCCAAGAGACTGGTATAAAAAAAATATCCTAGATGATTATAATTTGGAGCCAAATTCAGAACAACTATACTAGACATTAAGTTCCTTAGGGACAGGGATTGTGACTTATTCACTATTTTAGTCTCAGAGCCCACTATAGTGCCTGGTATATAGACTACACTAGTAAATCATTGCTGCCCTCAGTTTTCAGAAGTATGGGATCAGCTTTGTGTTGTACATACAATCTGATCTTATATCATTTCCATTTTACATATGTTAGCATCTCGGCATTAAAACAAAGAGCCATTTCTGGAGAAAAGAACTTGAGCTGGTGTTTGGAACATGACTGTAATCACTCTGTACTCTGTTCTTGAGACCATTTGAATTTGATGTAATGAAACATGATTACATAATTGAATGCTAAGAGTTTGGAAATGTTGTCTCCACATACCGATTCCAAATAGCAAATCCACTAATTCTTTGTATATGTAACTCTTGGGTCCTGGATATTTCAGTAATGGGGAGGTTGATAAAAATCAATACAGCTATAACAAGTAGCTTTTATAAAATTTAGCTATGGGAAGTTAAAAATAACATTTTGGGAGACTTTTCTTATGTTTATACCTTATTTTAAAATTTAAAGCATCTTCTTTAAAAAACCCTCTTAATAATATCTTAAATTTACTTTTTATTAAAGTGGTATTGTTTACAGCACTACAGGTTTCAGGTGTGCAGTTTCTCATCTCAGCAACTGAATTTTTCACACCACCTGCACTACCAAATTGCTTGGTCATCATGCGCCACCAACCAGTAAGCCCTCTTTTCCAGTATCCCCTCAACCCTTCAGCCCCAATTCCTTTCTGGTAAACACCAGAGCCTAAAGGTTTATTTTTGTTTTATTGATTCATTTGCTTTGTTTTTCACATTCCACAAATGGGTGAAATCATAAAGCATTTGTCTTTCTCCTACTGAGTATAATTACCTCAAGATCCATCTGTGTTGTCACAAATGGCAACACTTGGGCCTCCCTGGTGGTACAGGGGTTAAAGACAGTGCTATCAAGCTATCACCAGCAACTACAGCAGTAGTTTGATCTCTGGCTATCCAGGGAGCTAACCCCCATGGCAGAACAGACCTCTCCTGTGTCACCCGCTGCTGCTCCCCTCAGCAGTGTATTTCAGAGGACCTCCCTGTTCTGCTTCCCACTCTCTCTGGTGAGTCCTCTCATCCCCCACACCTCTGGCTTACACCCCAGTTCTGTATGCATAAATAAATCTTTAAAACAAAACAAAACAAAAAACATATGGCAAAACTCCATCTCTTTTTTATGGCTGGGTAGTAGTTGTGTGTGTGTGTGTGTGTGTGTGTACACAGTGCTATAATAAACATAGTACTATATAAAATATGTTTATAATAGTGCTATAATAAACATAAAGGTGTACATATTTTTGAATTAGTGTTTTCATAATGATACCTTACACTTATGAAATGTTTTATTGAAGCCCAGAAAATTTGGATAATGGGTCCCGAATATAACACTAAATTAAAGACAAAGTTACTTAAATCTCCTAATTACAAATTAAAAGTCATTTTTTTCACTTTATATGTGGATGCTGACATTTTGTTGGCACTTCTGTTTGATTTTGCAGCCAAAAAGGTGACTTCCAGTTTCTCTAAGATTGTGTAGGTCTGGGCTACTCCTGACAGTGATCTCCGACAGTGACGATAGTGGTGAAGAGCCTGAGTTATAGCACCAGACTGCCTGGTCTTATAATATGGCTCTTCCAACTGCTTATTATATGGTCTTGGGCACGTGTTTCAATTTCATAGTCTGTAAATAAGGATCATAGTGTGGTATAGTCACAGAATTGCTGTAGGATTAAGTGAGGAAGTTAGAATTATGTTCTGGGCATAGGTGTGATGTCAATCTTTGTGAAATAAAAATATGGTCAATTCTACCAATGAATAGCTAATAGTCAATAGATATTCTATCTATAAAGTTTAATTGATACAGATGAAGAAATTTAGGTCACAACGTATACACTCAGTCATTTTATACCTAGTCATTTTTCAAGTCACATACTGTGATTATCCATGTTGTGTTTCTGTTAAGTATCTTTTATGGGATAGCAGTTGTTTATAATATTATAGAAAAGAAATAGCAGGATTGAAGGCTTCCTTCTGTCTTAGGGAGTTTACAATCTACAGAAAGATGGAAGACACCACATAAAAAACCCCCTAAGAACTCCTTGTTTGTTATTGTAACAAGGAGGAGGCAGACAAAAGGCTATCTTTACAGCTTCTAGGTTTCCAAGATAGGATTCTTGTTTCAAGGAGTTACATGTTCCATCCAATAATGTTCTTAAGTCCTGTATCATAAACCTCAATGGACTTGTCAGGGCCTGAGATGTGACTAGGAAGAAGCACCTAGCCCTGTGTTGCAGCAAAACTCAGAGTCACAGCTTGGTCTTCAATATGGCTTCTTCCTCTCTAGGAGATCTGTTCAGGCTCCAAAAGCTTGAAATAGGGGCCAACTATGAAAGCTTTCATCTACCTGAAGATTTTTGTCCTTCATATTAGCAGTAAGAGACCAAGTTTCCATTGCCTAGAAAAGCATGGAGGCCAAATCAATTAGAATTTCTAGGTCATCGAGCTACTAATACTTTTCTTCCCCCAAAAGTTAGTAATGAAAGTTAATTTCCCTTCCTTTCTGTAACTGCTTGTAATTAATATCCATTTTTGGGACTTTCTGAGTAGAATAAATGCCTGTGACTGGAAAGCTTTATGCAAAGTTAACTGGAGTATTTAAGGATTGTGTGCACTGTGACCTAAATCTCTTCATTCTGTATCAATTAAACTCTATAGGCAGAACACTACTGATCGCTACCTATTTACTGGTAGAACTAACTAACTAAATAAAAGGTGATAGATCAGTGATACTATGTGGGTTTTACTAACTTAGGTGCTGTAATATATTGCAAACACCTGAAATAAAACTTGAAAAGTTGAAGACAAATTGACATTGTTATTGCTATTTTAAAGTTAAATATAGTAGCACATCACCTAGACCTATTCTTAAATATTTATAACTGTCTTTATCCCATATTTCTGAGAAAATTTAATCTCTAGGTGTTGAATAGAGACATTTATGATATCTTTATATTTAACACTAAAGCAATACCTTACCATGGAGATGACAAGATGAGTGCCTTGTCATCTCCATGTTAAATTTTGTCCATATCAATTAAGTTAATAGCACCTAAGTTTTCTAGAAGATTCTGTTTTCTAGAAGATTCTGTGACAGAAAATTCAGATCAATGGATTGAAATTCTGATAGCCTCAAAAATCAAAGGTTGTAGGGGGTCGGCTTCCCTGGTGGCACAAGGGGTTAAGTTGTAGCACTGTGAAGCTATCCACAGCCACTGCAGCATGAGTTCAATCCCCAGCCAGGGAGCTGACCCACATGGCACAGCAGACATCTCCTGTCTTGACCACTGCTCCCCTCAGCAGTGTATTTCAGCCAATCCACCTGTTCTGTTTTCCACTCTGTGTCTGGTGAATCCACTCACCCTCTGCACCTCTGGCCTGTATCCCAGTTCTTGTATGCATTAATAAATAAATCTTTTAAAAAAGTCAAAACTTGTAAATCACATTTGCACACATTTCCCATTCATACTTAAAGGCTAAAAGTAATAAATGTTTGTAAGGATATGTGTGTGGAGAAACTGGAACTTTTATACAATGCTGGTGGGTATGTGACATGTTCTAGTCACTGTGGAAAAGTTTGCTAGTTTCTCCAAAAGTTAAACACAGAACTACCATATGACAGTAATTCAAAATAATTGAAAACCACAGCTTAGATACTGCACACTGTGTTCATTATAATTTTATTCACAGTAGTCAAAAGGAGGAAACAAGCCACATTTTCTTCAGCAGAAGAGAGAATAAGCAAAATGTTGGACATATATATACAATGAAGTATTATTTAGCTCTGAAAATTGAATTATGATGCATGCTGCAACATAGATCAACATCGAAAACATTATGCTAAGTAGAATAAACCAAATACAAAAGTAGAAATATTTTATCATTCTGTTTATAGGGAATACCTCCAATAAACAAATTCATAGAGACAGGTATTGGAGGGCATGAGGAGATAGGGAAGGTGAAAATGAGGAAATATTGCTTCATGGCTACAGGGTTTCCCCTTGGGATGAACTACAAGGTGGTGACTGTCACACAACCTTGTGAATGTAGTTAATGCCACTGAAATTTACACATGGTGAAAATGGCAAACGTTATGTTATATTGTGTTTTATTGCAATGAAAAAGAGGAAAATATTATATCTGCAGTATCACCTATTGATTACAGTCCTTTTAATATTAATGGAGCTTACTATAGTAAGCCTAGATATCTAAGTTGGGAATATAGTATACAAAAGCAGAAGATAAATCTTTGGAGATGTTAATTGACCAAGAGTTCATGTTTGCTCTGCAATCCAGAATCTAAATTTAGGATTTTGAATTCAGGTTTTTTGTCCTTTCTTTAGAGGACTCTTCATTGAATGTAGATTCAAACAGTGTAAGAATGGACTTCTTGAAGACCATTTTGAACTTCTCCCCAGTAAATAGGTAGAGTGTGGGAGAAAAAATAGTATTGAAAAAAGTGGTTATTACCGTATGTATCATAAGCAACTCTAAAAGTATCGATTGTTTCTCAGTGATAATTAAACTCTGGTACACATGGTAGGGCATCCAACACACAAAGAAAGAGATAATGGCAGTCATCATGACCCTGAAGGGCTTTTTGGATTTAAACAGGCCCTTCTCTTTCATCTTGTTGGCTACCCTTTTGTAACAAAAGGTGATGATGAGGAAAGGCAGAAGGAAGCCTAGCAAGAAGCGGCAGATAAAACAGGCTACATGAATCTGTTTGCTTAATATTTGCATCTTTTTGCTTTCCCAGTTACTAGACACAGCATAGTTATTCTGGCAGGTCACTGTTCCTTTAAGATCATAACGTGTCCCCCTGAAAACCATACAGGGCATGCTGAGGGCAATGGTAGAGACCCAGACTCCCAGGATAATGCTGGAAGTGCAGCGTGGGGTCCGATGCAACTGTGACCACACCGGATGAAGGGTGAGAAGATACCCATCCACACTGATGGTCGAGAGAAAGAAAACAGAGGAGAACATCCCCATAGATAAAGTGCTGTTAATGACCTTGCACATGAGCGTGTTAAAGATCCAGTGATTGTTTTTTAAGAAAGAAGATGGCCAAAAAATGGCAAAGTCAATGTGGAAATAAAATACGAAAGAATGAGATGAAAAAATAAGAGCGTACTGTCTTTTTCATTTTGAATTTTAGCACCCACAGGTAGAGACCATTGGTGATAGCACCCAGTATACATGACATGAACAAAAAAAGGGCAGTGATAATTTTTGAGGCAGGAATTGAAAAGTGAGTATTGTTTCTTTGTAGAGACATGGAGCAAGTTATCAGTGGAATTGATCAGATCCATAATTTCCTGTGGAGTGAGAAACTGAAAACAACAACAACAAAAAAGAAAACGTTAAATATAGAAATTTTTGCATTGTAACAGTCAAAATTACAATATTAAAAATTTTTTCCTAAAGTCTTATTTACAAAATATTAAAAAAAAAACCCTTTGTTTTGCAATTAATGTTTTGTTTTAAAAGGACCACATAATTACAGCACTGGAATATCGTGAATAAAATATGTATTAGAAAAACAAATCAGGGGCCTCCCCGGTGGCGCAAGGGGTTAAGCACTGCACTATGAAGCAATCCGTAGCTTCTGCAGCACGAGTTTGATCCCCGGCCGGCCAGAGAGCAACCCACATGATGCAGCAGACCTCTCCTGTCTTGCCCGCTGCTCCCTTCAGCAGTCTATTTCAGCCAGTCTGCCTGTTCTGTTCCCCACTCTGTCTCTGGTGAATCCTCTCACCTCCCGCATCTCTGGCCTATACCCCAGCTATTGTATGCATAAATAAATAAATTTAAAAAAAAAGAAAAGAAAAATCAATATGGCTAACCTTTGGAGATTTGCTAATATTAGTGGTTGAAATGTAGCTAATACACATTATAACTTTTGCCCATCATTTCAGGGTAGAGTTAATCATTACCAAGAAGTGTTCCTACATATGCTTTGGTTTGGTCATGTAATCTGCATGGCTAAATATCTCACAGTCTCTTTACATATATAAAATATATACATATATTTTAATTTTTTAAGATTTATTTTATTCATTTATGCATACAAGAACTGGAGTGCAGACGGGGTGAGAGGATTCACCAGAGACAAGAGTGGGGAGCAGACTAGCAGGCTGATTGAAATGCACTGCTGACGAGAGCAGTGGGTGAGGCAGGAGAGATCTGCTGTATCTTGTGGGTCAGTTACCTGGCTGGGATGGACCTCTTGCCGCAGTGGCTGGCGATAGCTTCATGGTGCTGACTTAACCCCTTGTACCACCAGGGAGGCCCTATACATACATTTTTAAAAATAGATTGCAAATATATAAACAAAAGAACATACAGGTAACACCCCTGTAATTTTATTAGCTATATATATCTGTATTAATATGTAGCTTTTATATCTATACATATTTTGTATTTGTTGTTTAAAATGACAATATTTTTAAATGGCAAACAATATTTATATAATCACACAAAGCGTATTCCCCCCCTCCCCCCCTCCCCAGTCTCACTTCTGTTTTTTTTTTTTTTATAGAGGCATGTTTTTATTTATTTATTTGTTTGTTTGTTTGTTTATACATGCACTGGGTACAGTCAGAAGCACGGGAGGGTGAGAGAATTCACCAGAGCCAGAGCAGGGAGCAGAGCAGGCAGAAGGACCGAAGCACACTGCTGAGGGGAGCAGCGGGCGGCAGGAGAGGTCTGCGCGCCATGTGGGACCCTCCTCAGGTGGCTGGGTAGTAGCCGGGGATCGAACCGGTGCCGCAGAGGCTGCAGGCAGCTTCGCAACCCAGCGCTCAACCTCTGCGCCACCAGGGAGGCCCTCACTTCTGTTTTGTACGAGGAATTAAATCAGATTAATTTGAGCATCAAAAATAGAAAGATTATATATAAAATAATATTAATACTAAATAGAAATAACGTTTGGGATGTTTTGATTTTGTTAAAGTTAATTTAGGTAGCTTAAGAGCTTTTCTTTAGATATCAAGGGGAAGTCTGACCCTTCTTGATGTGTACAACTTTCTGAATAAAGTAATGTAGAGGAAACCCCTTTTGGGAAGATAACGTAGAAAGTAAAGAGGGGAGCTCTTGCCCCTCCTTAAGCTGAAGCCAAAGCAAAAACATTGGAGGCCAAGAAAGCAGTGCTGAAGGCATCCATAGCCATCGGGAAAAAAAAAGAAGAAACCTCACATTACCCACCTTCCAGGGGCTCCAGACACTGCGACTTTGAAGGGAACCCAAATATCCTCAGAAGAGCGCTCCCAGCAGAAGCAAGCTTGACCAGAACGCCGTCACGAAGTTCTCCCTGACCGCCGAGTCAGCCGCGAAGAAGAAAGTAAACAACAACGCACGTGTTTTCATGGTGGATCTCAAGGCCAATGAGTACCAGACCACAGAGGCTGTGAGGAAGCTCTGTGGCACTGATGTGGCCAAGGTCAACATCCTGACCAGACCTGATGGAGATGCAGGCATAGGCTCCACTGACTCCTGACTATGGTGCTTTGGATGTTACCAACAAATTGAGATATAAACTAATTACAGCCGGCTAATTCTGAATATATTCTTTTTCACCATAAAAAAAGGCAGTGTCAGATCAATTTATTTGTATAAGACTTGGTCTTAATGGTTGTTAGTGAAATTGAATAACAAAAATAACAACTGATACAAATTAGTGAAGTAATCATGGGGTATTATAATTATATTTCTCCCATGAACTAGTTATATACAGCAAATGCTATTATCTAGTATTCTAGCACTCAAGAACACAGTAAGAACTGATATTCCTATGGAAGGCCTAGGGCACAGTAGATTGTTAAATACCTTTAGAATTATCAATAAAAGAGGAAACTGTATTGTATAGAGCAGTAGTTTTTTTTTTTTTTTTTAATTGGAGAAGGCAAAGAGGTAAAGAAGTCAGGGAACTGATGTTTATCCAATATTTGTTATATGCCAGAAGCTTATCATCAATATCATGTCCTTCTGCCCTCACAAAGGCAAACATTTAAACAGAGAAAATGATGCTCATGAGTTTTAAATTTCTGACTCATTAACATCTCCACAATGTCTGCATTATGGCAGGTGGGGAAACCTACTGGTGTTTTATGTTACTGCTTTGAAGACTGGTAATTCATCTGTAATGTTTTGTTGAAGCTCCATGAATAAGAATATTGGATTATCCAAAATATCCCATTTCTTGAAAAATGGTTCCTATAATATTGAAAATATAAACCTCCAAATGTTTTGGAAAATAGTTATTGTAACAGAATCATAACAACAAATTGGTTTTTGATAAATTGGACAAAGCAGTGAAAATTATGAATGATGTATTTTTTTTTCACTGAGTAAACATTCTGAGAATATAGACAAGACAAAAATAATAGGTATGAAGACAACTGTTGCAAGTTACTTCTGCCTTCTAAGGGCGTTGCAAATTTTTTCTCTGAAGTAGAAAGTGGTTCTCTCTTCAGGAAAATATCTTAGTAATCTGTTTTGGAAAGAAAAAGTGAAGTCCAAGGACATGGAATGGAAAGGCAATAATGAGTAGGACAATGCGAGCCTGAAAAAGGTACTGTGTGAAGGTCCTGGAACCCTGAGAGAAGGGAGGAGGGGTAAGGACCAGGAATAGGAAAAACATAGCAGGAGATTAGGAGGTTTGAAGAGAGCAGAAATGACACAGGGGTTTTAAAATAAGGAATGTCTAATATTCTGTTTTAATCCATTTGCTATGCTTTGACATGGTATAAAGTCTCTTCTCATTAATCACAAATGTCTTGTGTGGTTGGTTGCTCTGGGGAATCAAAGGAAAAAAGCTTGTGTTTCCTATTTGGGGTAGAAAGCAGAACCCAGCAGCAGGAGGTGAGATGTAAATGAGATGATGAATATAGTAGAAATTGGATAGATACTGGGGCATGAATAGCCAAGGAGAAACAAAATCCTTTAAGAATTTCTGAGACTGTGTATATGGACTGAGTTTGTCTATTTGTGTGTGTGTGTGAGAGAGAGAGAGTAAATGTGTGTGTAAGAGAGAGAGAGTAAATATTCCGTATAACTGTGGTGTACTTAAGTGGTTATATGATCTCTGTGGTGTGTGTTTGTATCAATGGGGTATGTGTGGAGCTCTGCATGTGTGTGTGTGAGTTACGTATCCTTGTAGTGTACTTCTGTGTGTCTTTATTTGTGGGTGGTCTCTATATAAGGTGTTTGGTATCTGTGGTCTGGATTTGTTTATTTAGGTAGTGTATATATGTATAGTGTTAGTATGTCTATGCCATGTGCACGTGTTTGTGTGTAAGTACGTATGGTTTCTTTGTGTATGTGCAATGAAAAACTTAATACCTGAATTATATAGGGAAGAGTTTTAAAAAAATGTGTGACTGAGCTCTAGAAGGAAACTGAAAATAATGTAGCACTTGAGCAAAATGAACATTGGTAATGATTCTGAATATTATATAGTTTTCTAGGAACCTTGGTTTATTGCACATAAATAATATAAATTTATTGAATATGTATTAGTGGGGCAGAGTTCAGGTTCTGGAATTCTGTAGAAACGGGTTTTAATTCTACCACATTTTAACCCTGAGTTTGGACTCCTGAGTCTTTTTCATCTTCTAAAGCCCAATTAGTTGCTATGAAAACTAAATGAGTTTATGTATATAAATTATTGTTTCCTTAACATCACATATTAAGTGTTCAATAACTTTTTACCTATTATTTTGCTCAACTTATTATAGTAAACCAGTAATAGTCTCATTTTGCTCTTTTAATGAGACAGGTCAGATTTCTTTTCTCCTCAAAGCCTCCCTAGAGTTTCCACTCTAGAATTAAGTGAAAAAGTAAAAATATCAGCCTACTGGGACAGAAGTTCTCAGTTTTTTTTTTTTAAAGATTTATTTATTTAGGAGCAACATGGCGGAGAGGAGACGCTGCGAGTAAGAGCTCCCATTAAAAAAAGTTAATAGGGAGGAAAAGCGGCAGGTCCCAGTGAGAACTGGGACACGGAAGATAAACGGGTGACTCCAGCAAACTACCCGAAGAAGAAAGTGGCCATAAAAGAGGACTAGAAGGGAGGAAAGCGCAGAACCCTGCTCCCCTCCCCCACCCACAGAGTCGGCACTCTCCGACCAGCAGAGAGGAAGGGAAAAAACAAACCAAAACGACCAACAAGAACAAACTACGTAGCAAGCGGGACTGTGAGTGGAAAGGAACTATTTCAGCCACCACACCCCGTGAACGGGAGCTGCAGAGAACCCTGCAGGATTTGCCGCGGAGGTGAGCTCCAGGCGCCATTAAACAGAGACCCCGCCCC